GGCTGTTTGCCTAAGTCCAGCATCATGTATTGCTTTGAATAGATTGTATAACACAATCTATTCAATACTCACGTCTGAGGGACCTTTTCCCAAACGAGTCTAACAGACCTTTGCTCATCTCCCATGGTGGATGCTTTTGCAAGCCAGCCAGAGGGGGCTTCCCACAGCCTTGCCCAAGAGAGGCTGGAGCCATCGCCACGGGAGGTGCCGCCCTCCTGCTGGTGGCGGGAGGAGGAAAGTCAGGGTTTCGAAAAAGAAATACGAAAAGCCTACCCAGGAACAGACAGTGAGACAACGTTACATTGAAATCCTAAAACTGGAATTGTCAACAAAAATGCCCGGATGAAAACATCAGATCCTGTAGACAGCGAACCCCACAGGCAGAAGTCAACACGAGCGAACGCTGCCCTGCCCCACAAGGGTCCCGAACGGGGCATCTTCCTGTGGGTTTTAATTCTGTAGTTAGTTTACCTTCCTGCATACTTTCGTTTGTTGGTTGGGTTTGTTTTAGTCTTGATGGGGTTGAAAAACACTAAAGAAGGAAGCCTCAGAGAGCTTGCACAACAATGAGCCCTGGGCACAGAGATGTATACATTTCACTCAGGGCTCATTAAATGAGTAAAACATAAATATTTCCTGTACTGCTTCTTCTCAATAGAAGAACTACTTTTTCCCCTGAAAAAGAGCCATGTCTGGGAATCACTCGGGAGCCCCGAGTCTCCTCTGACGCAACGCAGGGACGTGTGTGGCATGTCAAACAGCAGAAGGTCTTCAAATGCCTTCCCAGAGAGCCTGCCTGGTGTCCCTCAACTGGTCTCCAGTTGTGGCTAAACGGAAGAATGGTGGTCTCTTGCTGATTCACAGACTTGAAGCTGAGAGAGAAAACTTGCTTTGTTTTAAGTTGCCCTGCTGTATTTGTTGTGAACTTGCCACCAACACTTGTCTCTCTCATTAGCCTACTCCGTGATGCTATTTGATTTGGTACAAAATTATGTAGCTATTCGAAATCAACAGATTAACACTTCACGGTGATCAAAACCCTTCCTTATGGCTTTCGGGTGCCCTGATGCTCCAACAAGGCTGAAGAGGAGGCCCCGGGGACGGCTCAGGCATTGGTTTGTCTCTGTCTCTCTGTGAGGGCAGGGGCTGTGTCTTATAAAAACCAACATTCTCTCCACATTTCCTGACATGAAGGGGCAACCAATTAAGGCTTGTTGAAGAAAGGAATTCCGGCAGGGACCATCTGTGAGCACACAGTCTGCGTGGCCATTATTCTGCAGCTAAGGGTGACAGACTGTCCGCAAACGGAGGCAGAATCATTAGCTGGGTTCATCCAAGGCTTGGCCCAGAATACGGAGGCAGGGGAAGCAGGGCCATGGTCCCGCTGGGGGCGCTTTATGGGAAGGGAGAAGACTAGTGTTGAGTCTGGTTCCTACGTGGTACTGACTCTGGTTTTCTCTGTGGCCTGTCGTGGAAGTCACACAAACAGTGTGACCGGTAGAGACACGTCTCTCCCAGCTGCCCCAGTAGAGGCACTGTGTAGAAAACATTTACAAGTGCTCAGGAAGAGGCCCTGAATGATGGGAGAAGGTGGCACAGAGTGAGGAAAACTTCTGGCTAGTGCCCCGGAGTCTCTCTCTTGTTCACGGATGCCTACAAGCCGGACAGAAGTCCCTCATCTGAAGCCGGATGGAGGATTCCTCACTACTAGTGTTAGTGATGAGCCGGTCACTCCTGGAGCCACAGAAAGTCATGAGCTGTGCCCATGATTGCTGGCGACACTTGGGGGGATATAAAGGCTTTCGAGCTAAAGCTCCTTCGCATCTTTCTCAGAGCTGTGTGCTACTCATAGTGTAACTACTTTTTTTTCTTAACAGGAAGAAAACTACCCCTATTAATAACTGATTTTCCCTTCTGAAATCACCAGGCCTCTGCATCTTTTTCTGAGGCTGGGTACTGGAGTGGTTGTGTCCTAGGACAGCAGTGCTCATGGCTGTCTGGGTGTCAGAGCCACCGGGGGGCTCTGAATGCTCCCAGGGCCCTGGCTGGACCCAGGCCAATTTTTCTGGAATCTTTGGACTCAGGTAGTTGCAATTTAAAAAGCCTCTCAAGCAGTTCCAAAGAGAAGCCAATGTTGAGAACCACTGCTTAGAGTCTACGATAGTCCTCAAATGTAAAAGTTTTGATGGTAAAAAAGGCCAAAGATTTCTTTTAATTGGAAAAAGTATATTTTTTCATATTCTCATAATTCGAAAGCTACCAAAGGGATTTTTTCCCCTCTGAACTTTCCATTAATAAAAAACAAAACAAATTTACACTGAAAACAATAATGAGAAAATTCAGCCCAAGGTAGAATTTTCCAGAAAGTTATAGGCAAGTGAAAAAAAGAAAGAAAGAAAGAAAAGACTATCATTGAAAAAAAAGCTTTTACAGGAATTTCCTTTTAAATCTGCTTGCAGTGAATGTCTCATTTCAAAGATGGATAAACATCATTTGCCAAAAAGTCCCGCCTCCGGCTGTTGCTAAGAAGCTCAATGTCAAGTGATGGAAATGCCCAGGGCAGAGTTAACTCAGTCTGACTCAGTGTGGGTTTTAAAGAAGAAATTAACAAATTCTGAACAGTAAGAGCACAAGTGGGTAACAAAATGACTAGCAGCTAAATGACTAGTTGAAAAGGATCATCTTGATTGCTAGGACTGCTGGCTCGTCTCGCAAACACAGCTTTCTAAAGACTGCACCGGCCCTATCTCTGGTTATGTCTCCAGGTAGTTAGATAGTCCCGTGTTCTGCCTAGTCCTGAACTACCCTTAACCGAGATGAACGAGGGGCATGTGTTGTGACCATGACCGACCCTGCCTGCACGCATCACGTAATTGCTAACCTTTTGCTTTGCTTGAACCTGGCACAAAATGTCAACCTTGCTGATTTTGAAGGCAACAGCTTCCCCTTCGCTGGAGGATAAAGCAGCAACCCCTCAGGCTGACAGCTAAGCCCGGTCACGGCGCGGCCACGCGGTGCCCCTCCACCCGGCACCGCGCTCTGCCCTTCCACCTGGCACCGCGCTCTGCCCCTTACCGGGCCAGTGTTCCTCAGACCTTTCTAGGGAACAGACTCATGGACAAATGAGAGTCCAAGACAGTCTTCCGGGCTCCTCTGGTCGTTGCTTTCCTCCCATCCCAGGCTCCTGCTGTAGGCTTCCTACGGGTACGCATTTTACAGACTCCGAGATAAGCGCCTTATCACAATTACCAGGTGGGGGTTACTACTCTCTTTCTCCTTAAAAGCTCATGAAACTTTTGTAGTCTTCTCCTTCAGGCACCAGGGTTTATTTTCATAACAAAAATGACACCTTTTCACTCTCAGAGTCCCTAGTAAAGTCGAGGTGCAGGAGATGCTTGTTTCCCGGGTCACCCTGATTTCTGTGGATACTTTTGACTGAGCTCTAATGTTTGTAAAGGAACTGGAGCAAAGCAACTCTGGGCTGGGCCGAGCTGTGGGAATGGGAGGGGGGTATTCCTTGCTCAACATTTATGTCACTTGGTTGAACTCAGTGCTGGGTCGTGGCACTGGCAGTGGTCGTGACGGAGGGAACTTAACGGAACAGCGAGGGAGAGACAGTCAGATGCCAAATCCAGCCCACCCCTCCTCTGACATGGTGCTCTTCTGTATGGGACGGTGCTTTTGTGCCTCTGAGCCTTCCTCCTCTTGTCCCTTTCTTGCAATACCCTTCCCCCTCCTCTCTAAGCTTCCACTTGCCTCTCCCTGCAAGGCCCAGCTCAGATGCTGCTCCTCAACCCCAAATCCGGTTTCTCCCAACTTGGTTAACTGCCTGTAGTGAGTTGAACTGTGTCCCCAGCCCCACCCCAAATATATCCAAGTCCTAGCCCCCGTTACCTGTGAAGGTGACCTCATTTGGAAATAGTCTTTGCAAACGTATTTGAGGTAAGGATTTTGAAATGAGATCACCCCAGATTGGGGGGAGGCCCTGAGTCCAGTGAAGGGTATCCTCGTCAGAGGTGCAAGCCACACAGAGACACGGAAGGGAGGCCATGTGAGGACAAAGGCAGAGGCTGAATCGATGCCTCCACAGCCAGGAGCACCAAGGACGGACAGGGTCACCAGCAGTCAGCAGGGCAGCTGTAACAGGCCCTCCTCTGAGCCTGCAGAGGTGAATCAACCCTAAGACCCGCAGTCCTGGACTTCTGGCCTCCAGAACGCTGAGAGGATAAATGCCTGCTGTTTCAAGACACCAAGTTTGTGGCGATTTCTTACTACAGCCTCAGGGAAGCAAGATCCTGCCTTTCTCTGGACCCGCCTGACATCCCAGCCGATTTCCTGAGATGCATCAATTCTGACTCCACTTTTCACTTCTCACCTCCACGTCTGCCGTCTCCTACCAGATCCGGCCTCGCTCCCCTCCCAGTGTCCGGGGACGCCTTCCGCAGAGCTGGTGCTGTGAGCGGGGCGGGAGCACAGAGCAGTTCACACTCCTGAGAGCCGGGCATGACTCGGAGGAAGGCCTGGCCACGGTGGCCGCCCTCCCCTCCACGGTGGGGACAAGCCCAGTCCGGCCCAGCCCTGAGGTCTCTCTGTTGCCTCAGGACTTTGGGGGGGTCCCCAACCCAACCTCTCTGGTCCATGCCAGGCAGCGCTGGGGGAGGGGCTCCCTCTGTGCCCCCTACTTCCTCGCTGGCACACTTGGCCCACCACTTCGATGATCTCTACCCAAGCTCTGTCTTCATCAGACTGGTGGCTCCTTAAGGTCAGAGGCCACACCTTACCTGCCTTTGAATTTCCTTGGCCCAGGACTGATGACATGCTGATGTTCAGCGACTACCATTTAACGCCCTTGAGGACCCACCCCACCTCAGCTTCTCAGGACCATCTTGTCTTTTCTGTTTTCTGGCCTGCCCCTACCCCCGCCAGCTATCCCATTCCAATCCAGTGACCAGCCTCTTGGTTACAGGTTGAGTTGCTCCCCCTCCCCTGGCCCCCTCAAACTTGTATGTTGGTGTCCTCATCCCCAGGACCTCAGATTGTGGCCTTTGTTGAAGATAGTATATTTACAGGGATAATCAAGTTAAAATGAGGTCATTAGGATGGACCCTAATCCAATATACCTGGTGATCTCATAAACAAGGGGAAATCTGGACACAGAGATGTGCACAGAGGGAAGGGGCTGTGAGGACACTGGGGGAAGAGGGCCATCTACAGACCGAGGAGAGAGACCGGGAACAGCTCTTCCCTCAGTCCTCAGGAGGAACCACCCTGCCGACACCTCGATCTTGGACTTCAAGCCTCCAGATCTGTGCGACAGTAAATCTCTGTTGTTTGAATCCCACAGTCTGTGGTACTTTGTTATGCAGCCTGAGCTGATCAGTATACTCTCGGAGTTCTCAGTTCACCCAGCCTTTCGCTCAAGCCTTTGCATATGCTGTTTCCTTTGGCTGGAATGTCCTTCCATTTTACTGGTGTGAAAAACCTGACTTTTGTTGAGCACCATGTGCAGCAGGCTCCATGCTAGGAGGTTTACACACATTTCTTCATTTAATTCTCATAACGACACGGTATCCCGAATTTCCTTTTTATGAAAAGAAGCATTGTTTATGCTGGTTGGCCTATACGGATAATGTAAATGGAACTCATCTGGGCAAATCAGAAAGAACAGAATAAGACTTTAGGACATCCCAGTGAGGACACTGCAGGAACCGGTCAAGGGCACAGCCATCCTCAGGCACCACAGCCTAGTCCAGTGTGACACAAGGCATCTCTTGGTCACCTGATAGTGGACGGGGTGGGGCTTCCAATATTAGTAAAAGAAACAATTTTTTGTATGACTTAGAGGAAGCTCTAAAAATCCGATTGTGACACTCAGTTTGAATGAAAGACTCTTACCTCACATGAGACTAGGGCATCTGTGACAGAAAGGAAGTGGATGATTGTGTGTGAAGCGCTTAGAACAGCGTGGGGCACGTGGGACACACCACGGAACTGCTGGCTGCTACTGTCAGTGTTACTCTGAGAATCCTCCCCGGGAGTGTGTCACAAACGTTAATTTTGGCTCCTACCTTATATATGTGAGTTGATCCTATAAAGTTCAGAGGACCACAGTTGTCTACTGCAAGGATAAACTAGAAACTGATTTTCTAGAACACTGTAGCAAGCAAAGGAAGGTGACATGATACCCGCCATTCCTGCCCAGGTCCCAAGTCGGCGGCTACAAACCTGGCAGAACCCAGTTTCCTTGCAGTGATGCCCAGTGACATCTCAGCCCTTACGTGTGCCTCCAAACTCCTCAGGTGTAGACTGAACCCTCCCCTTGGCCCCTCTGCAGGCGTGTGTATCTGCTCTACACCACAAGACTGTTTTCCACTCTTTGCCACGAAGTGGTCTGCCAGAACAAGCCGAAGCAAGTGGAGAGGTTGTCGGGAAGTTCCCAAAGTCACCCTGAGAGACTGAGATCAGAAACTCTGAGGGACAATTCTAATCTTGTCAGTCACCTTAGCGATGAAGCCCAGCTTTGCTGACCTGGATTCTCCCCACCAAGAAAAAACAACTGGCAACCGGCATTTGTACCACGCACCTGCTAAGTGCTCGGAATTTCATGTAAGCTGCCTTGTTTCTCAATCCGCAGGTTTATGTGTGCCAGCAACTCCTTTATCCCTCCTCGACATTTTGTGCAGCCGATATAGCCATTTCTCTGCCAGGTGAGGAAACGGAGGCAGGGAGGTGTAGGGGAACTGGCCCATGGGAAACAAACAAGGGAAGGCAGGTCTGGGTGTCTGATGTAGGTCTCCTTGGCTTCAGATTCTCGGCCATGCCCAAGTCCCCTCAGGGCTTCTCAGCGGGGAGAGCCTGAGTCCCAGATGGACTGTCCAGACAGGAAGGACTAGGCTGATGACACGCACCGAGAGGGTCCCAGACACAAGCTGTCTCCCGGGGTATCTGGAATTCCTTAGTCAGAATCTCTGTTTCCGGCTACGGCATACACACAGGGTGACCCTCAGACCTCAAGTACCCGATGCGGGAGGCAATGCAGGAGCGCTGCTCACGAGGGTCTCTAAGCCACCTGGCTCCTGCCGGCCGGCCCTCTGAGAGCACAGGTGAGTGTGGGTGGCGAGGGCAGGTGAAGAAGGCGTCAGAGGACCCGCCAGGAAAGAGCAGGGAGATTCAGTTTGCTTCGACACACATCTTTTGAGGGCTCTTATACCTAGGCTCTGGGCCAACAGCGAGTTGTGTGTTGGAGCTAGCTGGTTCTGCGTGAGGTGTGGATGGAAGGACACCCCGCACTGCGTGTGGGCTGGGTAGGTCAACGGGGCAAAGAATGTGGAAGACACAGTGGATGTGACCTTCCTGCCCACGTGGAAAGAACAAGGCGTGCCCTTTCTGGGGCTTCCGTCCCTTTGACAGAGCTCACAAGGACAACCGCTCCCAAAGCAAAGAAGGAGTAAGTGTAAGAATGCTTGAGTTGGTGTCAGCATCCCACAGCACGTTTACATAGATTAGAATCTGTGATCCGTAAAGTGCCCTCCAGGGCGTGATGCATAACAAAGAAATCAACACCCCCATCAGCCCTGCTGTTCCCAGGAGCCTGCGAGTGCTCGGAATCCTGTCAGGAGAGACTCGCTCCTGAGCCAGACTTCCTCAGTGATACACCAGCTCCCGGGGCTACAAGCTCACAAATGTGCTTTCAAGAAAAGAAGTACCATTGGTTGTGCAATAAACCCTTTACAGGGAAATAAAACTAGCAAACAGGTAGCCCCGGTCCTGGGATCGGTAGTGAATTACCCCAAATTCAGCTGTTTCTCTTCCTCTCTTATCTTTGCTCACAACCTACTTCTTGTATTTCTTTAAGAATAACTAATTTGGATGAAATGCGGGAAATGACTCTGAGGTAGCCTTCTGCTAGTCATAAGGCAGACCCCTCCTTGTTGATTTCTGGGGGAGACATTTTCACATTCTGTTTGTTGTAAGAGCAGTGAGTTAATGAAAGGACCCTCCTGAGGATCTTAGTCTTGCAAACCCGCATTGGACTTGGCGGCACTCACGGAAACTCGGTGACACAAGGGTCGGAGGCCACGATGAAGAGGACGGCGCTTCCTCGACTGACAGCAAGATCACCGTCCTCGTCCTTGTCCCGCGCCTCCTCGGGGTCACAGGAGACTACCCCTAAGTGAGAGACAGGCAGCTTCTGCTTGACTCTGTGGCTCTCGGAAGACCTGGATAAAAGAGAAGGAGAATTTGGTTTGACTCTCCAGCGCTACAGTGGAAATGCTCCCAGAGAAGCCAGCCGCCTCGTGAGACCCCGGGCAGCCCCCACTTGGAGGCCTGGCCCCCTGCCTTCTTTTCTATCCATAGCTGTCATTTGCTTAGCTCTCTATCCAGTGTCCAGACGATATCCAGGAAGAAGGAACGAGCACCAGCAAACTCTTCTAGGTCTGTAGGTGCGAGGCACGTGAGGCAGCAGCCGTCAGTGGATCTGACTGGGTACCATCACCCGCACCAGCACAGATGCCTTGAGATTTCCCCCAAGTCCCTGGTTCCAAGAGGAGAATGGACGTGCATCTGAGGTTTGGCACAGCACCACGGATGCAGCGTCTTTCGTAGAGATGAGTGGGAACCACCCAGCCCCCTGCTGATGCGATGACTTTCCCAGTGGCCAAATGTTTTGATAATAAAATCAATAACAACAGATGAGGGGGTTTTGTCTCCTCCATTACTTTTTGTTGAAAGTATCCAAAGTCAGCAAAAGGACGTTTCCTCCCGCCTCATTTGAGGGGCGCCCCAGCTTTGCTGTAGGAATAAATAAAAAGCACCGTATGATAGATCAAGAAGAGAAGCATAAGGCTGGGCAGATAGCAGGCACTTAATGATGAAAAGAATTACGGAAGAATCGGAATTTAGTGGGCACTTTGAAGGATGAATAAAGTCTCATGAGTACATAGACGTGTTGAAACATTCCTTCTTGACAAGAACAAACTTGAAAGTCTCCCCTTCAATCTTAGCGGCCACCACGGTGTACCATAACTTGATTGTTGTAAGGCAGGGGACAAACAAATTCTGAACACACAGGAGGCATTCACCCTAAAAGCAAGCTATTTCTAGACTTCTGGACTTGATCTCATCAAGCTCTTTTTTTTCTATGAAGCTCCTAACTTCAATTTACTAGAAGAATTGTGGGCAGAAAACAACCGTGGCTTTGGCAGGGAGTGATGAAGTTGAGAGCCAAGAGTAGGGGGGTGGTCCCCATCGTCCCCTGATTTAGGAGAAGGGTCACTTTATCTTGATGAGTAGATCTGAACTGAATAAGAAGAATGGAATAAACAGCAAGCGCAAAACAAGGGACCCATAAATATCATTTACCCTCAGGATGTTTTCCAAACATTTCAACCATCCCTGAAGCACATGGCAGCTCTAACACATAACAGCAAACTGTGAGGATGGCAGGGCATCGGGAGGACCCCTAGTTGGTGGGGAGGGAGAGGTTGACGGCAGAAGAGGGGGGAGGGACCAATCAGTGTAATAATTCTCTCATTTTTCCAAAGATTAACAAAAGGCATTGTGCTGGCCATCTGGACAAAGTCCAGTTACTCTACAGGGCAGGCTGACCTGCCAGTCCAAAATATGTATATTTGCAGCAACAATTTTCTGCTTGAAATAATAAACAAGAACTCTGGTGCGTTTAGTCCTCCTCTCACATCTCCAGCAGGGCCCCTCACGTTATTGGGACACAGAGATTCAGGGCAGGAGGCTGGTGACATCCTCAGTGTAGGCACCAATGAAGATGCAGCCATGCGTTTTTGATGCTTCTTATCATTGTGTAAATTCATTCTCCTTAAAGATGCCCCCCTTACCGTGAGTTCACAGACTGACCTTTGGAAGTAAACAGACACCTAAGTCTTCTTCCAAAACCTCTTTTTGTGAGAACTGGAGCACATTAAGGACCAGACCTGACCCGCGATAACCACTGTCTTCAGCGCCTTCTCCCCCAGCAAGCTTTTTTGGTTTTGGCCCGATCTTTGCAAGAAACACATCTCTCCCTCACTGCGTGGCCGTCAAGAGCAATACGAGACACTGCGTGTTTCTCAGCGCAAACTCCAGGGACAGCCTTAGCCTTTGACAATTAGAAATTTTAGGAGACAGGCTGTCAATACTCAATGGTTGCTCTCCCTTCGCCTCTCCAGTCCCTGCCGATACCAGCGCGTTTTCTCACTCCCTTCATGACCTTCTCAAGGGGGCCGCGGTCTGGGTCACTTTGCGTTATTTGGCTTGCCTCTAGGTGGCTGTGCAAACTGCAAGCCAAATAAGTGATTTCTCCCTTTTCTTCAAACTCAGGTAATAGCAGGACAAAAGGATACTTCAGCCCAGCAAGATGTTATGTTTTTTGTTCAGGCAAAGGGAAAAGAAAATCAAGAAATGGTTAATGGTTTTTCTCCTGGGAGATGAGGTGGGTGTTTATCCACTTGAATCAGCTCTTGGCTTTTGTTTTGTTTTTATTTTTGCCAAGACAGAGATGAGAACATAAGCTGTGAAATGTGATTACAAAGTAGTGACATGGGAGGGGGACGGTACAGCTCAGTGGCAGGGTGCATGCCTAGCATGCATGAGGTCCTGGGTTCAATCCCCAGTACCTCCATTAAAAATAAATAAATAAATCTAATTACCACTCCCCCTCCAAAAAAAAACCCTGAAAAACAAAACCAAAAATAAGCAAAGTAGTGACGTGGGAGCCAGAAGTGACATGGGAAACTGTCTTCTTGTTTGTAGCTACATGTCATACGTGCTCATTCGTCCATGGAGCAAATGGGAGAAGCATGAAGGGCTAGAGCAGCGGGAGGCACGCAGTCCGGCCTGTGACATGCATGTGATGTGCGGTGTGGTGGAGCTCTCTGAGGTGCCCGACGTCTTGCTTCACTCCGCGAGGGTTATGAAATCACGGAGACTTGACTCAATGTGATGCATCTTCAATGACAAGCAGCTCAGAGCATCAGGAGGGCTGCTTTCACAGACTCTTGGAAAGTACGGCACCGCTGTTCTTTATCTCCAGGAGCAGGGGCCTGTCCAGTGGGGGTGTCTTCTCTCTGCCAAGACAAGATGGCGGCTGGATGGCTGTGCTGTCTTGGGAAAGGTTAAGAAATTCAGAGAGGCCAAGGCTAACAGTCCCTCAGACTAGAGAGATACAAATTAAAAGATGGATTTTTTTGCAAGCTTTCACTAGGTGAGGCTAATTTTAAATGACTCAGGGAATGCCTATGGAGCCGGCGAGAAAAATACGTAAAGATGAACTAGATTCACCTTCCCCAGTGAATGGATGTGATGGTGCTAGTCCACTGGCTTTCATCAAGTACTGCTGGTCCTGACTTAGCTGGTGCTCATGGTTCAGGCATCTCACCGTTACATTTGATAACACACGTCTAGAATTTTTGCTTCTTCCTGTTGTCCCAAATTTAAGGTCTTCTAGGAACTTTTGTCTTATAAGGAAGGAATGCCTCCCCAGGAGACCCAACAGTGGTTCCATTGAATTGGCAGTTGAGGCTGCCATCTGACTAGCTGGGGCTCCATGTGCCCCAGAACCAAAAAGAAAAGAAGGGGGATTACCTGTGAAACAGTAGAAAATACACATCTTGGTCTCTGTCCCCCATTCCAGAAAAAGAGCTCCTGAAATCTTTGTAATGTCCTAAGTGATAAGAGAACTTAGGAGAATATTTTATTTTAATTTTTGGTCTTTGATCCTGGCTCCTGACACAGAGTTCCCTGGAATTTCCTGGGTGATAGGAGTGCCTTTTGTTCCAATGAAGCAACTCTTGGCGGACTCCTGGATAGCTTCAGGACGGAAGCTGGTCCCTGGGAAGACCAAGCCATGATTAGAAACATGGACCTTTCAGGCTCACCCCTCACCCTCTGGGATGGGGATGGGGAGGGGGAGAGAGACTGAGTTAATGATTGATCATGCTATGTGATGAAGACGCCACAAAAATCTCAAAAATATGGGGTCTGGATAGTTTACAGGCTGGGGACCACACTTACAAGCTGGGAGGATGGTGCACTCCAGTTCCACAGAGACACAGCTTCTGTGCTCAGGGCTCTCCTGGACGTCACCATATGTACCTCTTGATCTGACTGCTCATCTGTATCCTTTCTCATTTCCTTTACTAAGTAATAAGCCGGTGAATGTAAGTGTTTCCCTGAGTCCTGTGAGCTGAAAGGGGCTTGTTGGAATCCGATTTATAGCACAGGTGACAACCTGGGCCTTGAGATTGGCATCTGAAGTGGGGGCAGCCTTGTGGGACTGAGCCCTTAATCTGTGGAGTCGGCACTAACTCCAGTTAGTGTCAGAATTGAACTGAATTGTAGGTACCCAGCTGGTGTCACAGAGAGTTGTCTGGTGTGTGGGAAAAATACCCACACATCTGAAGCCAGAAGTATTGTGTGGAGCAGTGTGAGAGGAAAGGAGAGGGGTGCTTTTCCCTGCCGTTCCTTCTGCCAGGTGGGGGTGGATCATCTAGTCACCAGGAGGAAAGCTGGTTGTCCAACACAACGGGGGCCAGGAGGGCTACCTCTGGAACCCAGTGGATTCTCTGAGTTGTCCCTTAGTACTTCCACGTCCAGTGGAAAACTAGAGCAACTTGGAAAAAAAGGGAGGGCCACTGAAGATTCAGACCTCTTGAGAATGAAGGGTTGAGTGACTGCATCAGACAGAGGACTTCAACAAGCTGAAGCCTCGGCTGGGCACAAAGGAAGCACAGAATGAGTCGTGGAGGAAGGAAGTTACATAGATCAGCCGGTTAGAGAGCAGGGGACCGTGGAGGCCCTGTATATTTTTGCCCATGCTCTGTGTGTGCATATGAGTGTGTGCATATGTTAACCTATTTCTTCTTCCCTTTCCTCCTCCACTTTAAGACTTTGAACAGTATTGTTGGAAATCAACTTACAATTTAGTTTTTAGGCAACATGATATTTGGGTGGGACTGTGACTGGATTAGAGGAGTAATCACCTGTCTCTTGTCTGCATCTTCTGGCTTTGTTTCTTTTTCCCCTCCCTTCTGGGCTCATGTTGAATCGATCAATTTTTCTTTTACCTCCTCATTTCCTTGTCTACTTGTTTGGAAAGCATGCCTTCTGCTTTTATCATTTTAGAAGTCATCCATTAGTATTTTTGAAATTAAAGTTAACATGCATAACTTGACCTTACATTTTCCTAACAAAATCTAGAGGTGGTTTATATTACTAGTCTCTTCTTGAACAAATTAAGAGTGGTTTAACTTCTGAACTTCTCTTCCATCTTTTATGGTATTGTCAACTATTAGATCAGCTTCATCCTGATTTTAGTTCCATGTACTCGGTTAGCTATTAGCATTATCTGTACCAGTCATAACTGTTTAGACTCAGCAGCACGTTTTACTGATTTCTCTGGCTACCACTGTCTTTTGGCTCTTCATCTTTCCTTTTGGATTCACTATCCTTCTTGCTGAAGTGTGCCTTTCAGTAATTTTTGTCAGCAAGACTCTGTGGGCACTCAGCTCTTAGTTGTATGTCTGAAATTGTCTTTATTTCTCTTTTAACCCTGAATGATAATGTAGCTAGAATTTAGGTGTCTGTGATGACAGCTGCTTTCCCCTGAGTATTTAAAAGCGATTATTCATAGTCCCTGGCATCTATTATCAGAAGTTCATTGTCAGTTTAATTATTACTCCCTGTAGCTCATCTGTTTTGTTTTCCTTTAAGATAATGTTCAGAGTTTTCTCTTTCTCTTTACCTTTGATACTCCAGTTTTACTACTATGTGTCTAGTGTTTAATAACATTGCCCTAAATTCAGTCCACTTATACAATTTGAAGACTCATGTTTTTCCTTTCTTCTGGAAAAAATCTCAGACATTATCTCTTGACCACTGCCCCTCCATCTTTCTCCTTTATCTTCTTGAGAACCTGATTAGATAGGTTAGGCGCTCTCCTTGTACCCTTGTGTCCTTTGCACTTCACACTTCATCTTTCTGAACCACGTTCTAAGTGACTTCCTTAGTTCCATATTCTAATTCACTGATCTTCTCTCCAACTGTATGCAACTTTCTACTAAGCCCATCTTTCGAGACTTCACTTCCATGCTTTTTGCTTAATCTGTATAATTTCTGTTCGAGTTTTTGGGGAGAGGTTTTTCTATCTTTTCCCTCCACACTCTTTCCTTATATTTTACATATATTTAGATGCTCTTCAGATTGTTTTATTGTCTCCGGTTCTTGACATGAAAATACTCCTATTTATATTTGCTAACTGACCCTTTTGGTAGTTTGTTCCCTAATGTGATTTGGATTCTGAATTCAGATTTAGAAAGGGTTGTTTTCCATGACATGACTTTGCTTATGGGAATACTCCTATGGAGCAGTTTGGTATTTCCCAGAAACTTCTGGTAGAGCATCTAGAGACATCTTTAACCAGATGCCTCACCTGGCATCTCATTAACCAGAATGGAGTCACATGTCTATGTGTCTGTTCCAGGGCCAGTCAATCGCAAAAAGGAGAGAATATCTTTAGATCAATCAAGTCCACCCCAGTCAAAGTGAGGGTGGTCCAGGTTCCTCTTCAAAGTGCGGGCTGAGTGGGAGGAGTAGAAACCTGAACAAAACCAGGGTTCTGGTAGAAAGAAGAAATGGGATATGGACACTTAAGACCGTAACACTCTCAGAGATTTCAAATTTGCAAAGACTCACTTAAAACTTAAGAATCCAGTAGAGAAATTCCTCAAGGGTTGCAGAAGGTGAATAGAGAAAAGAATAGTTAAAAACAAAAACAAACAGGGTAAGAGCAAATTTTGGTCAGACATATTTTGGTGGAGTATCCTTTATTATCTTCTCCAGAAATGCCTCACATTTTCATGAAAGGCAAATTTGGGTTTGTTACCAGGTATGGAGTAGCTCTAACATCCCACTGCCTGCTTTTCCTTTGTCTTTTCGCCCTTCAATTTACAGGGGGAAAAATGGGAATAAAAACAATTTAATAAGAAAATGTAAATAAAATTTCAGACAACAAAAAAATTTAGTATTAACAATAATTCTGATTAATCTGTGAGTACACTGTGATCTTTGGAAGAGTTCAAAGTCATCCGAAGAAAGGAAAATCTGTATTCACATTATTGATGCAGGGCTCTGCTTGGCCCCTGGTCACACACACCATAGTTAAGTAACATGATAGGGAACACAGTGTCCGGCTCCTGGTTCTAACACTCGCACCAGCCACGCAACTTCGGCATCAGCTCTTCTGTGATTTGTCAAAGACGGGACAGCAGTAACAGGAGCAACCAGGTCGGGCCAAAGCTCTGCGAAGTTTTGCTAAGATCTACTTTCCTCTGTTCAGTCGATTTTTGATATGTGCCTGTTATGCGTCAGGAAATAGAGTAAGTATTGACATATTAGGGAATACACAAAATCTCCACCTTCATTGGAGCTTCCTGGAGATAAAAACATTGTATCAGACTTTATATATTTTTAAAATTTTTGAGTATTTGAATTCTTCATTATTCGTGGAGATATTTGCCACTTTGTTGACAAGTAAGCAATACTGATCACAGTAGTAGGTGCTAAAATTTCTGAAATTCAGCATTCTAGATACCAGGCTCTCCATCTGCTTGTGCAACTTCTTCCTGCCAAACCATCCGGTGTTCCCTGTCCCCATCTTCCGCTTGGGAAGGCTGGCTTTCTTGCTGGCCTTTCTCTTACTTGTGCCCTCTTTTGGTTACTTCTCCCTCACATTCTTTCTTTCCTCCCTTTGCCTCACATCTTTTTTATCTTCTTATCATTTCAGCCTTGAACTTTAAGTCTGCCTGGAATTTAGTTGTTTTCAGGCTAGAATGTTATTGTTCAAACCTTGAGATCTATGGAGTCTGTGAACATGCTTGAAATCACTGCTGGTTTTCCTGTAAACCAACTTTGAAACATGATACCATAAACTTCTAACAATCTCGTATATAAACGCTATGAAAGAATCAGCCTTTGTCCAAAGTGAGTTGGTAAGGTGGGCTTTGCACATATTATCTCATTTAATCCCAGCCCCAACCTGTCCGTCGAGGAGACATTCTCATGAGGAAACCAAGGCTGCAAGGACTTTGCTAAAATCTAAAAGCTAATACATAGTCGCGCTGAGGCAAACACCCAGGACTTCTGACTCCAAATCACTCCTTTGCCTTTTGCACAGATAATACCATTGCCCTGGATAAACACCACAGTTTTAATTTTAATAACTACAGGACAGCTTATGTAAAGCTTACGCTGAGTTGGACTCAGGGTCCTAGTTGATTCTTGAGACTGGAACTCTTTATTTACTTAGATCAGTTACTCTTCCAGGTGCTGTGGACAGAACAGATATAACAACTCAATTTTATCTCCCATCCAGTAGAATTAGGGCCATTTCTGTTTGTTCAGCTTTTGGTTCAGTTGCTTCTCTGCACTTTCTAAATCAGGAGTTGACAAACTTTTTCTGTAAAGGGCCAGATGTAAATGTTTTTGGTTTTGTGCCACTGCTCAGCCCTGCCACTGTAGCATGAAAGCAGCCATAGACAAGGTCCAAATAAATGAGTGGGACTATTTCAATAAACATTTATTCCTCATAGCAGTTAGGGTTGGTTTCAACAATGAGTTACAGAGATCTCAGGTAACAGTGATCAAAACAAGAAGAATGTTTCTTTCTCTTTCATAAAATGCCCAGAGAGGGTCCTTGGCTGGTATGGCAGCTCTGTTTGGAAAGTCCTCTGGGGTCCAGAGGCCTCGAAGCTCACCACTCACCATCCCTAGGGTTTGGCCTCATTCTTAGGTCTGAGATGGCAGCAGCCACTTCCAGACAGCAGGTAGAAGACAGGGGAGATGGGAGAAGGGCACACAATGACTAACCCTTAAGGAAAGTTTCCAGAAGCTATCACATGACACTTCCTCTTTCATGCTATTGGCCAGACTTAGTCACATGGCCACTGGTTCAGCTACAAGAAAGTCTGGGGAATGAGATTTTTTTCTGGATGGTCATGTGCCTGGATCAAAGTTTTATCACAATGGAAGAAGGAGAAAATGGGTATTAGGAAAGTTCATCCTTGCCGCATACTTTGTTTTGTAGATGGATTTCATTTGCGTTATTACTAATGACATTGAACAGTGGTTACCCTTACCTTGTTTGACTTTAATAGGAATGCTGCTAATGTTTCACTTTCAAGTGTGATTATAGTAGATTTCTGGTAGAGATCCCTTATCAACTTAAGGGAGTTTTCTTCTATTTTTAGCTTGCCGATTTTTTTTAACTTTTTTTAATTGAG